GCAATCCTCTTGTCTTAGCCTCTCGAGTATTAGGATTATAGGCATGCAATACTATGCTCTCCTTTCCATTGGAAATTCTGCCGAAAGATACCTTAATATCTCCCCACCAAACTCTATCACTGACACAAAAACAGGCTGAGATCAAATATATCTCATGCCTGGCATCACTGGCTCACGCCTGTAATCCTAGCTACTCAGGAGGCTGAGATCTGAGAATCACTGTTCAAAGTCAGTCCAGGCAGGAAAGTCTATGAGACTCATCTCCAATTAACGACCAGAAAACCTTAAGTACTACTGTGGCTCAAAATGGTAGATGCTAGCCTTGACCGAACGAGCTTGGGTACAGAACCCAGGCTCTGAGTTCAAGCCCTACAACAACAACAAAACAATTTTTTTTCTGGGGGGGAGGGGGGTTTCCGGTCGTGGGGCCTGAACTCTGGGCCTGGGCGCTGTCCTTCAGCTCTTCAGCTCAAGGCTAGCACTCTACCACTTGAGCCATAGCACCACTTCCGGCTTTTTTCTTTTTTGCTTATGGAGTGCTGAGGAATCGAACCCAGGGCCTCAGGCATGCAAGGCAAGCGCTCTTACCACTGAGCCACCTTCCCAGCCCCAACAAAACAATTTTTAAAAAAAAAAAAAAAAACCATATATCAAAAGTACAAAAGGCTCAATTGCAAAAGAGTAAATTCCTGCTTTGGTGAAACCAAGTTTGCTTTACCTATGAATACAATGTTATTTTTTTGTAATTGTCTCCAGTCCCTTTTACTTCTAGATTTAATTTCAACTGCATAGCTTCCTAAAGACAGAGATCACCAAACAGTGCTTCACAGGAGAACTGTTTTACCTCTTGCCTTAAGTTCATCTTCTTCTTCTACTTCTATATCCAGATCATCAAATACAGCCACCAGAGGAGTTTTCAATGTTGTATTACTAGGTATTTTAAAGTCCTAAATAAAAAAGATATAATTCACTTGAGTAAATTAAATGGTGAAAAATAATTTTACTTTACATAACATTAATATTATAAAGTTATTAAAAGATATCATTTAATAACAGCCCTACAAATTTATGGCATTAACTTCCATAAAATTTGCATTTATATTTTGTAGGAAATAGCTCTACACTAGTGAGTAACATTATCAAAGTTGGAGGCCAGCTAGGACAAAGTTAGCTCAAGACCTGATCTGAAAAACTAAAAGCAAAAGGACTACAGGAACATGGCTCAAGTGGTAGAGCACTTGTCTAGCAATCCTAAAACCCCAAATTTAATCCCCAAGCCAAAAAAAGGGGGGGGATGGGGAGGCAAAAACCAAAAGAAAATTTGAACTAAAGTTTAAATTAGAAAAAAGACACTTAAAAATCAGAATCTACCAGTGGCTCACGCTAGTAATCCTAACCACTTAAGAACTTGAGATCTGAGAATCACAATCTGAAGCCAGCCTGGGCTTCAAGTCCATGAGACTCATCTCCAATTAACTATCAAAAAGCCAGAAGTGGAGCTGTCCCTTAAGTAATAGAGTACTAGTCTTGAGCAAAAAAACCTCAGAGGCAGATCCCAGGCCCTGAATTCAAATATAAAAAATAAAAATAATCAGAATTTACAAATTGAGAAGATGACACTACAAGGTTCAACATTCAACAACACTCAGGTGGCAGGCAATTGCATATACTCTAGCTCTTACTATAGTCTATTCCATGTCTGTAATGCAAATATATGAACTTATTTTTACATATTGGACATCTAAGTCATCATTTAATATTTATAATGTAATTGGGCTTATAAGAATGGTACAATTGCCGGGCGCTGGTGGCTCATGCCTGTAATCCTAGCTACTCAGGAGGCTGAGATCTGAGGATCGCGGTTCAAAGCCAGCCCGGGCATGAGAGACCGTGAGACTCCTATCTCCAATAAACCACCAGAAAACCGGAGGTGGCGCTGTAGCTCAAGTGGTAGAGTGCTTGCCTTGAGCTGAAGAGCTGAGGGACAGAGCCCAGGCCCAGAGTTCAAGCCCCACGGCCGACCAAAAAAAAAAAAAAAAAAGAATGGTACAAAATGTTTAAATACAAGTACAGAGGCTTACATATTCAAAATCTTACACCCCCAAAAAACTTGCTATTTGAAAAAATCTTGTCACTTGTAAAATATCCAACATTTTGCTACTGATACTTTGCTGAATTGTATTTAAACCTATAAAGTTTGTACTTATAAAGGAATCTATACAAGTAACTTTTCTTCTGATTAATTTCTAAATGACAAAATATTAAAATGTTTTAACCATCAATAAGTTACATGAAATTACTTCATGTCTTTTATTTGTTAACATGTTTAAAAGTCACAGAAAACTAGGTATAAACCATCAGAAAAGAATTCGTATATTCTACCACATTCAAGACTGATTACAATTTGTTCTGAATTTTATTCTAGCAGAAACAGTAACTATAACTTAACTAAAATAGCTAATTACCTGGACATTGTTTTCTGGTATTTGTTGAGGTTGCCTTACTTGAGGCAATGAAGGTTGAGCTCCTAGTTTTCTATCCAAGAATACTTCTTTGCTGCAAGCATAACACCATACTCGAAGAGTGGTAAGGTTCACAGTTAGATAATGCTTTGTCTCCTATATAATTTCACAGGAAAGGGAAAGGAACCAAAATTAGATATACTTAAAAATAATTCCTTCAAATAATCACAGAAGATAAACTGATGGGGGCTGGGAAGGTGGCTCAGTGGTAGAGCGCTTGCCTTGCATGCTCAAGGCCCTGGGTTCGATTCCACAGTACCACATAAGCAAAAAGAAAAAAGCCAGAAGTGGCTCCAGTGGCAGAGTGCTAGCCTTGAGCTGAAGAGCTGAGGGACAGCGCCCAGGCCCAGAGTTCAGGCCCCACGACCGGAACCCCCCCCCCCCAAAAAAAAGTAAAAACTGATGGCCTAAAAAAAAAAAATCAAAAAACAGATGGCCTTCTTTTTGCTTTTTATCAGCATATGCAAATTGTAATAAAAGGTTTTGTGATATTTCTATCCCTGCATAAAAGGAACTTTGATCAGATTCATTCCCTGTTAACTGCTGTCCATTCATACCAAAAAAGCTAATTTAGAGCACAAAACACACACAAAAAAAACTTTTTGGATAAACTGCTAAGTACAGTAATTATATCTAAGCTATTCTAGGTTATTCTATTGTTTTTTCCCCTACTACTCATTATACAATGATAAATACAAGAATATAAGATTCTGTTCTACAGAACAAATATAGGTTAACTATTTTAGAAAATTAGAATGGCAAAAGAAGACAAATAAGTTAAAACACAAATAGTTCTAGCCCTACAGAAATAATTTAAACGAATAATTTTCCCAAGGATGGAATACAACAACTACTGTTCTTGGTTCTCAGAGAAGTAAATCATGTACAGATGTGCTTTGGGCTTTGTGTATTTAGGCTTAATTAATTCTCTTGAGGAAACCTGGTTAAGAACAGCTGATGCTGTGGAGACATTGAGGGCCATCTTAGACACAGGTTACCTGCTGTGCACCAGTGGCTCACACCTACAACTCTAGCTACTCAAGAAGCTAACTATCTTAGGATTTCAGTACAAAGCCAGTCTGGGCATTAAAGTCCAAGAGAGAATCTCTAACAGCAAAAATTCTAGACTGGAGGCAGGGTGGCTCAAATAACAAAGCTCTAGCCATTAGTAGGGGGATAAATAAGAGAAAATGAGGATATGAGTTCAAGACTTATATTAGCCAAAATACCCAGAGTTCACACAAGAAACATACAGTTTAGAATGGGAGATTATCTACTACTACAAAAGATGCATGCTAGAGTCACAAGGGAAGCAACAAACAACCACAGCAAAGTAGAAAGGGTACTTCACTCAGTATCATGTACAGGAAAAAGCAATAGAGTATTAGTAAAATATTTTAAAAAATCGGTTCAACATTTCAAAAACCTAAGCATTTACTCTAACTTCAACAATTACCACATGCACCAACAATAATTGTCTTACATCCTGCAATTACATACATACCTGAGAATGTATGGTACTGTGATCTACTTGTGATTCACCACAGCCAACATATGAACATCTATTCTATAAAATACAAAAAGGAAAATGTATTTTATAACATGCATAAATTTATAACAGCATTACAATTTTATTGTTGTTTTGATTACATGCTTTAACTCAATGATTAAATTAATTTCCAGTTATATACTAAAGCAGAGCATAATTTCTAAGCTGAAAGATGTTATTTTTAATAAAAAGTTATGTGATTTTTAATAAAAAACATGTATCTCAAGGAATTTACTAAAAACTCAACAAGATTTTTTTAAGTTAAAATCCTTCCATAGTTTGAATGTTTTCAATGTATGCTCATTTACAAAAAGAAAATTTTGGGTCAGTTGTGGGGCTTGGACTCAGAGCCTGTGCACTGTCTCCGAGCTATTTTTGCTCAGGTTAGCCACAGCTCCACATCCAGTTTTTGAGTGTTTAAATGGAGATAAGAGTCACCCAGTGACTTTTCTGACTAGGCTGGATTTGAACCTCAATCCTCAGATCTCAGCCTCGTGAGTAGCTAGGATTACAGACATGAACCACCAGTGCCCAGCTACAAAATTCTCTTAAGCATCAAAAAAAAAAAAAAAAATGGTTACTATAATCTAAAAATTTAGAACAAAAATTTCAGGAAAAAAATGTACACATACCTCCAAGCATGCCCAAAGATTTGGTCCTCTGACTTTACAATCCTGACAAGTACCCTTAGGAAAAAAATACAAAAGGCAAAAATTTGCTATACTGATGTAGCCAAATATATACAATTTACAGTATGTATTGTTTTAAATGAGACTCATGATTAGAGTTTTCATAGTAATTTATGAGAAATGTCTAACCAGAAGAAAAGTGAATACTATTTTTAAGGAACATTAACTTGTATCTTACGTGCGATTTCTGTATCAAATCTTCTTTTGTTATTTCACCAACTGATTCCAAATGTGGACAATGATTTAGAAAAGTTGACATCTTGTTGTAATTTTTTTCGTGTTTCCCAAGGCTTTCTAAATGAGGTAATACCTAAAAGTGGCCCAAAATATTAATTAGAAAATGTTAACATGCTACAAATAATTAAAATAAAGGTAACATAAGAATGATACAAATTTACAAGTTTGTCCTGCAGGAGTGTATTTTCAGACCTACTTAAGTAAGCTGAAATAATTGAAGTTGGAAATAATTGAAGCAAAGTTGAATGCAAAGTATTTTCTTTACCAAAAAACATTTTATTAAAATCAACCTATAGCCGGGCACTATTGGCTCACTCCTATAATCCTAGCTACTCAGGAGGCTGAGATCTGAGGATCGTGGTTCAAAGCCAGCCCAAGCAGAAAAAGCCATGAGACTCTTATTTCCAATTAACCACCAGAAAACCATAAGTGGTACTGTGGCTCAAGTGGTAAAGCGCTCACCTGGAGCTGAAGAGCTGAGGTACAGCACCCAGGCCCAGAATTCAAACCCCACTGATAAAAAAAGCAGAAGCAGCAGCAGCATGATAGACACAAGTAGACTGGTTAATTTTTTTTAATGATCCTATGTATATAGAACAAATATGAGTTTAATCCACCATAATTTTTTTCTGGGGATTTAATTTAGGACCTAGTGTGTTCTAGGCAGATGCTCCAACACTTGAGTTTCAGTTTTTGGGGAAAGGAGTCTCAATTACTTCCTGTTCAGGCTGGCTTCAAACTGAAGTCCTCTAGATATTAGTTCCCTAACTGGCCAGACTTGGTTACATGTGTAAGCCAACACATCAAGCAATTTTCAAGACTTCTGATGCTTTCTCTCCTTTTGTCTTGGTTTTTTTTTTTTTCTTTTTGTCTTTTCTTTTTTGGTACTGGGGATCGAACCCAGGATGTTGCACTTGCTAGGCCAAGTGCTTTGCCACTGAGCTACATCCCAGCCCTTGTTTTGGTTTTAGTTTTCTTGTTTTTGTAGGGCTAGAGACTGAACCCAGGCAAGTGCTAGGCAAGTGCTCTACCACTTGAACCACACCTTCAACCCTTTTGATTGGGGGGCCTGGGCACTGTCTCAGCCCTTTTTGCTCAAGACTAGCGCTCTACCACTTTGAGCCACAGAACTACTTCCTACTTTCAACCCTTTTGTTTGAATTTTTTTTGGCTACAGAGCAAGCTTGCCTGGGCTGCCCATGAACTCAAAATCCTCCTACCTCTGCCTATCCAGTAGCATGGATTATATTCAAGTGTGTACTACCATGCCAACTACCATTTCACTTTTTATAGATTAATAAAAGGAAAATTCAAGTTATTTAATTTTGAAGCATTTTTGTTGAGTTTTAAGATTAACAATTACAACAGAACAAGAATCATAAAGAAAAGTAAGGGAAAGCTTTATTTGCAGCCCCTAATTGATTAAATAAACAGAACCATGTGTATCCTAGCATTGTATAAGGACAGGCATGCTATGTCAGGGATTTCTTTGTTTTGGGTCCGGTCGTGGGACCTGAACTCTGGGCCTGGGTGCTGTCCCTCAGCTCTTCAGCTCAAGGCTAGCGCTCTACCACTTGAGCCACAGCGCCACTTCCGGCTTTTTTCTTTTTGCTTATGTGGTGCTGAGGAATCGAACCCAGGGCCTCAGGCATGCAAGGTAAGCACTCTACTACTGAGCCATCTTCCCAGCCCCTGTCAGGGATTTCTTAACACAGACATTACTGATGCCTACAGCCAGGCATTTCTTTTTTACAGGGATCACTGTACGAATTGCTAGGTGTTTTAGCAGCATTCTAGCTTCTACCATCAGAGCCATACCATATCACTATCAGGCTGAACTCAGAAAATCAGTAACCAATACTCCTGGGGGACAAAACTCTTCCCAGGGTAAGAGCTCTATTATCATGATCTTTACAAGAAGCAAGAGATAGGTAGGTATCATTATCTTTGTTTGCACATAAGGTTAAGAGATCTAAACTTGACTAAGTCTACCTGACTGCCTCAGTTAAAGTGAGTGATTTTCAAATGGTTTCAAGATTAAGTATTTCTCCATTTTCATTGGCATATGTATATATAATATATATATAATATATATAGTCAGTCCTGGGGCTTGAACTCAGGGATTAGGCACTGTCCCTCAGCTTCTTTTGCTCAAGGCTAGTACTACTCTACCACTTGAGCCACAGCACCACTTTTGGCTTTTTCTGTTAATGTGGTACTGAGGAATCAAACTCAGGACTTCATGCATGTTAGGCAAGTACCTTACCACTAAGCCACCTTCCCAGCCCCTGTTTATATATTCTTAATAACAGGGTTTTAATGCCCTTAGTTCATCTCTGGAGTTTGAGAGTACTATTTAGGAAAAAGTTACAGAACTCACTAAGATCGAATGACTGATTTAGAAGCTTCACTTTCAAATACATAGTAATTTTAATTATTAATGGTTTTTAAGCTATTTATTAAATCTCATAGGATTTAAACTACGTAATAGTTTATACTGTATCAAAATCCTTTGGGGAGCCTATAACCTATGTCTTTTGAATTCATTAAATTTGCTGAAACAGCAATATATTAACTTTTTTTAAATGATATTAAGAATATACCCAGAACCTTGTCAAGCACTCTATTGCTTGAGCTTCACTTCAGTTGTTTTCTTTTTTCACTTTTTTCTTTTTTCTGCTAATCCTGGGGTTTGAACTCAGGGCCTAGATGTTGTCAGCAAGCTTCTTTTGCTCAAGGTTAGTACTCTACCACTTGAGCTACAACTTTACTTTCAGCTTTCTGGTGGTTAATTGTAGATATGATTCTCACAGATTTCCTTCCAGGGCTGGATTCAAACCTCAATCTTCAGATCTCAGCCATCTGAGTAGCTGGGAGTAAGGCATGAGCCACAGGTGCCCCACTCTTCTCCATTTCCAAGACATGATCTCACTAACTGTGCCTGGGCTGGCCTCAAATTCTGATCCTCTTGCCTCCATTTCTAAATATATAGGAATGTAGGCATGCACTACCACTTCCAACTTTAAAAAAACAAAATCAAAATAAAAAATATAGTGGGCTAGAGGTGTGGCTCAAAGAACAGATTATCTGCCTTACCAAGGGTTTAACCCTTAAGTTCAAACAAAGTACTGCCAAAAAAGAACAAAAGGACTGAGCAAAATCAAATCAAACCATATACCAAGACTCACATTAGGGTTAACAGTAAAAAATATTCTAAATATTGTGTTAATACATACTAAACAGTCATACTCTAGATTTCCAAGGCATGAAGTTAGATATTAATATTTTTATTTCAGCCAAGCTCAGAGAGACAAACGGCACATTTTCTCTTGTATGTGGGAGCTAGATCTAAAATACACTAGGACATAACAAATTATACAGGACTCTAGGCATTCACTCATGGTGAGACCAAAGGAGAATATTCTTAGAAGAACACAAAGGCGCAATGCCTATGTGCCTCTGGTCATAGAAAATAATAGTTACCAAAATGCACTCCAGGAAATGGAAACGAGGTTTTTTTTTCTTTGCTGCTATTTTTGTTTCCTTTTTGTCTTGTTTGTACCTTTATACGTCTTTGGAGGGGCAAGAGATAAGCAAATACAGCAATGGTACTCACTAGACACTATGTTGAAAATGAACTAAACAACTTGTGGATGGGAATGGGAGGGAAAATCTGGGCAAGTGCAAGGGAAGGTGTGACATTGTCCTCAAAGAAATGTACTCTTTACCTGACTTACGTAACTGTAACCTCTCTGTACATCAGCTTTATAACAACACTTTTTTAATTTAAAGAAATATTTCCTATTTTTTTACTCATGTATAGAAGAAGATTTGACAATCTTTCTCACCTATTTCTCATCTCTCACCTCCTTTTTTACCCAAGTGTTTTCACTGCTAGCCATATGGAAAAACAGGATTCCAATTTACCTTTTCACCTTAAATAACTTTAAAGAGGACAAAATATATAAAACAAAGGTTTTTAGACACTAGATAACAGCAATACAAAACAGAACACTGTACCCAAAAAGATGAAAACCAACTGAGCCCTTTGAGCCCTTTGATTGCTCCAACTCAGCCTGGAAAGATTTCTAGGCCACAGAGAAGCTACGGAAGAAAATTCCAAATAACTGGCAGTCTCCTTTTGCTGAAAAGAGTGGAGAATTTACAAGACTAGGGTAGCTAGAATTCCCAGAGTAGAGTAATAGAGAAAAGAACACAGTCAACAACCAAGCTCCAGAAAACTGGTTACCATCATGTATTTATTCATTCTAATTACTAATGAGCCCACATGCTATTAAGTCAGGGCAAAATAACAGGGAAGAAGGAAGTAGGAAATTTTTCAAAAGGTTATAAATGGATGCTTGTACACCTATTATCAGTTAGAATTGAGAGACTTGATAATAAAAAGAATAGAGTATTCAGAAGAGTACTCAGTAATGGGGTGGGGGGGGATATTATCTCTCAAGGCTATTTTGCCACTGCCTTTATGAAGCTCAAACAGAAGTCTTTATTAAAGAACCAAACTATTTCAGGGCACCGGTGGCTCACACCTGTAATCCTAGCTACTCAGGAAGCTGAGATGTAAGGATCGTGGTTCAAAGCCAGCCCAGGCAGAAAAGTCCATGAGACTCTTTTTTTTTTTTTTTTTTTTGTCAGTCGTGGGGCTTGAACTCTGGGCCTGGGCGCTGTCCCTCAGCTCTTCAGCTCAAGGCGAGCGCTCTACCACTTGAGCTACAGCGCCACTTCTGGTTTTCTGGTGGTTTATTGGAGATAGGAGTCTCACGGTCTCTCCTGCCCGGGCTGGCTTTGAACCGCGATCCTCAGATCTCAGCCTCCTGAGTAGCTAGGATTACAGGCGTGAGCCACCAGCGCCCGGCTCCATGAGACTCTTATCTCCAATAAACCACCAGCAAACCAGAAGTGGCACTGTGGCTCTTGAGCTGAAGAGCTGAGGGACAGCTCCCAGGTCCAGAGCTCAAGCCCCACCACCAAAAGGGGGGGGGGGGGGGAACTATTCCCAAGAAACTATCCTAGAATAAAGTTTAAAGTCTTTCAAGTTATTCATTCAAAGAAGAAAAACTGCACCCAACAACATAAAAATCAATGTTGACATAAAATAAAAAAATAAATAAATAAAGACATAAAGAAGAAAAAAAGAAGTAATCTGGGACCAGGGATGTAACTCAATCAGCTCAATGGTAGATACTTGCCTAGCATGCACAAGACCCTGGGATCTATCCCTAGCAGTACACGAAAACAAAAGAAAATCTGTTCCACAATCAAGAAGAAAGGAGAACACACAGAAATAGTTTCTACAGATGAAAAAAGTTAGACCAACAATAAAGTAGATATGATTAATAGAAGATTAGAAAATAATGAACAGTAAAAAAATCAAATTCAAAAATATTCAAAAACACACCATTAATAAGCTGTAAGAAAATTCTCAAATTTGATGAGAACTATATAACTGAACAATAAATTTCATAGGCATGAAAAGTGAAATCCTGTTATTTGCGACAACATAGATGTAACTAGAAATCATCATGTTAAGTGAAATAAACGAGGCACCCAGGTATGCAGAATCAAAAAGATTAAACAGAGGAACTGATTAAAGGGAAAAAAAACTGGACAGGAGCTGGCCACCACCATGCTATAATCCTAAGCAACCTATAATCATAGGTATTATATACCTAGCTAGAAATCACACCTCCAGTTCTTTTCCTTTTTGTTTTGTTTTTGTTGTTGTTGTTGTTTATTTGCTTAATACAGGGTCTTACTTTTTGCCCAGCCTGTCATGGACCATGATCTTCTTGTCAGAGCTGGGATGACACCCCAGTTTTCTTTCCTTCTCTCTGTGAAAATGGAATCTCTTGAATTGTATTACGGGCCTGGCCTTTGAACCACACCTTTTAAAACATGGACTTTTCAGCCAGGCACTTGTGGCTCACACCTGTAATCCTCAGAAGGCTGAGATCTAAGGATCACGGATCACGGTTCAAAGCTAGCCTGGGCAGGGCAGGAAAGTCTGTGAAACTCTTATCTCCAAATAACCACCAGAAAACAGGAAGCGGTGTATGGCTCAAGTGGTAGAGTGCTCACCTTGAGCTGAAGAGTCAGGGACATCACCCAGGCCCAGAGTTCAGGCCCCAAGACCAAAAAAAAAAACAAAAAAAAACGTTTTTTAAGAGGCAAAGGACATTCTTCTCAACACACAGTACTGGGAAAATGGGGTATTTATACATACTAAAGAAATAAGTTGGAGCCAGTGGTGGTGGCTCATGTTTATAATCCTAGCTACTGAAAGGCTGAGATCTAAAGATCAAGATTTGAAGCAGCCCATGCAGAAAAATCTGAGACTCTTATAACTAGTTAACCAGTAAAAAGATGAAAGTGGAGGCATAGCTCAAGTGAGTTCCAGCCATGAGTGAGCAAGCCAGACAAATGTAAACCTGAGTTCAAGACTCAGTAGCTAGCACATGTGTGCACGCACAAGTGCGCGCGCGCGCACACACACACACACACACACACACACACACACACACACACACACACACAAAATAGATAAAAGTTTATACCATAAAAGTTGAGAGTAGAAAGGGGTTACCAGATGGCAGGGGAAAAAGGAAGCTAGAAAATGGGAAAACACTGATCAACATGTAATAAGTTACAGTTAGGTAGAACCAAGATTTGTAGGAGTATTTTTATGCAATATAGTACTACAAATAGCAATAACGTAGAGCATTATTTCAAAAAGCTAGAAACTTCATAGTTTCTACCATAAAAAGATAACTATTTGGGGTTAGGTACGTTTTGAGGGTATGCTTAACCTATGCTGTGCAAGGTACACAAAATATAATATATACATGTATCAAATATTACACAGTATCTCAATAAGTAATTTATATGTTTTATCTATCGATTCTAAAAATAGCAGTGCCCTGGTGGCCTATTCCTATAATATAATAACAAACGATCAGCTGATTTATCACTGAAAATGATACAAAACAGAAAATAACGTTGCAACATTTTTAAAGTACTGAAGAAAAACTATTAAAGAAGAGAATTCCATTACTGGATATCTCACAATAACAAAATGAAAACAAAATTTTTTTTCTTTTTCTTTTTTTTTTTGGTGGAGATTTAACTCACCGCCTTGTGAGTACTAGGTAGGTACTCTACCACTTAAGCCATACTTCTAGTCCCTTCACATTGGTTATTTTCAAGATGAGGTTTTGTTTTATACCTAGGCCAGCTTGAATTACAATCCTTCTATTAGGTCTGTTGGGGATGACAGGCACCCACTACTGCATGCAGCCATTGTAGTTGGGATGACAGGCACAAACCACTGAACTGCTGAGGCTAGCCTCAAGTCATGATCTTCACCGAGGAACCTAGGATTATAGGCTTGAGCCACTGTGCCTGGAACAAAAACTTCTTTAGCCATATAAAAGAAAAAAATGTTATTACCAGCATACTTGCACTATAAAATTTGTAATATATCCTTCCCTATTTTTCTGTTTATATAATACATGCAGATAAACACAGCCTTTAAATTGCTTTTAAACAAACATGCAGTCATTTAGCTCTTTTCCTGAACCCTGCTTTCTTTATTCCAGCTATACTTTTATCCCAATATCCCTCATGTATTCACTGATACTTTAATAAACATTCCTCTGTCATTCTTATGGATATTCCATACTTCTGGGTATGTATACTAAATTATTCAATCAAGATTTCAATGATAAGACAATAACTATTCTGCCATCAAAACATTCTGCTATCAAGAACATCTCTGTAAACATAATCACATAATCTTATGTGGGCTTTCTTTTGGGGTGGTGGTGCTGGGGACTTCAGGGTCTTGTATAAGCTAGCAAGTGGTCTACTTACTTCCAGCCCCCAATATGGTTCTTTTTCTTTTCCTTTTTTGCCAGTCGTGGGGCTTGAACTCAGAGCCTGTGTACTGACCCTGAGCTTTCCAAAGGGCCTAATAACCACTTATATACCATTAATTATGCAAGGAAATAATATTTTCTGAACTGCAACATGATTTTCTCTCCTAAGAAAAGGATTTGTTTTGTTTTGTTTTTTTGTCAGACCTGGGGGGCTTGAACTCTGGGCCTGGGTGCTATCCCTGACTCCTTTCACTCAAGGTGAGCACTCTACCACTTGAGTCACAGTGTCATTTCCAGCTTTTCTGTGATGAATTGGAGATGAGTCTCACACTCTCCTGCCCCAGCTGGCTTTGAACCATAATCCTCAGATCTCAGCTTAATGAGTAGCTATGATTTACAGGCATGCGCCACCTGTGCCCAGCTAAAAGGTATTATTTTTAAAGCTAGATCTGAGAGTACTCTTCTATAATTACAACACTCAAGAGGTTGAGGCAGGAAGATGGCAAGTTTGAGGCCAAGCTCAGCTACATAGTGACTTACAGCTCACTGGATTATATAGTAACATCCTGGCCAAAAAAAAAAAGTGGGGGGGGAGCAGCGAGGGAATTTAAAACACTGTCATTTCACAGGCTTATTGTTATAATTCACCTGTCTTTTTTTTTTCTGCAACTAATCTCCAGATATAACCTTGTCACAAAACTGAAACAACTAGGTGCCAGAAGCACACCAAATATTTAATAAATAAAAGCAATTATTTAATTTTACTATTGCAGTGAATTTCTTAGAATGTCTAAGATAATACTGAACACAAAACTGAGCATGGGCATCCAGTCAAGTTCCTAGTTTTAATAGTCTTGCTACTTAAGACATTTGTTCCCATTTCCCTCTCTATTTAGATATTTTATTAGAAATAATTTTGATGGGCAGGCACTAGTGGCTCATGTCTATAATCCTAGCTACTCAGTAGGCTGAGATCTGAAGATCATAATTTAAAGCCACCCAGGGAAGACAAATCTGAAAGACTCTTATCTCCAGTTAAACAGCAAAAAGCCAAGAACTGGCTGGGTACCAGCTGCTCACTTCTGTAATCCTATCTACTCAGGAGGCTGAGATCTGAGGATGACTGTTCAAAGCCAGCTGGGTCAGTTCATGAGATGCTTATCTCCAATTAACCAAAGAGCTAGGCTTGAGCAAAAAAGCTCAGGAACAGTGCCCAGGCCCTGAGTTCAAGCCCTAGGACCGGCTTTGTGTGTACAAAAGCCAGGAACTAGGTTTGGGGCTGAAGAGAGACCCTGAGTTCAAGCTCCAATACTAGCAAAAAAAGAAAAAGTCTTAATGAATTTCATCAAATTTCTCAGAAGCTTACTACGCTTTTTGCTTCACTTGTTGATATAATCTGAAAACAGACTCAGTACATAATGGCACTGGTGCAACAAGACCCTACTGGGTCAAAATATTATGTGCCCATACTTATTCTATTGCCTAACATTGTTTAGAAATTTTATATTTCTAGACATAAGTGAAATTGATCTTTATTAGTAGCGTCTTCTTCGGAGATAAAAATGTATCTTTCCCAGAAAGCAATGAACAGCTTTGCATCTTCAATGGTGGAGAATAGGGTTTTCTTTATTATGAGGATATGTTCTTCATAAATTAAATAAAACTCAGTGGTGAAACCCTCTGCTAGGCTGCCCTTTTCAAGAACAAATCTTTCATCTATTTTCCCCCCTGCAGTTCTAGAGATAAAATCTAGGACTTTGAGCTTGGTAGGCAGTCTCTATAACATCTGAGCTCCAGTCATTGTACTTTTGTTTTGAGAGAGGGTCTTGCTAACTTTTCATCAGCTGTCACTCCTCCTGCTTCTGCCCCCGAGTAGCTGGGATTACACCAGTGAATCACTATGACCATCTTTTAATCATCTTTTCAAGCCTTTGTTAGGAACTGGTTAATTCAAGTTTTTACTTCTGTAGTCAATTCCATTCACTTACATTTTGCTATAATACCATCCATTTTCTCTTGAAATAATATTTAACATGATATATCAAATGCATAGTCTCAAAAAAATATGAAGCCAAGCATCAGTGGCTCACACCTGTAATTGTAGCTACTTAGGAGGCTGAAATCTGCGGGCAATGGTTTGAAACGAGCTCAAGTAGACATATCAGAAATTCTTACCTCCAACCTGCAAAAAGCTGGAAGTAGAAGTGTAGCTCAAATGGTAGAGTGTTTGCCTTGAAGGAAAGCCAAACAAGAATGTGAGTTCAAGCACAAATACTGGCAAAAAAAAAAATCTGAAAAGCATTTTATTAAAATCTCTCTATATTTGAGGGCATATGGTGGTCTACTCCATTCATTTTCCTTTCACAAGTTTCTTGGGTTCATAAGGATTTTGCTAAGAAATAGCCTTGGCACTGCCCCCCCCCCCCAATTTTCTTTTTGGTTCTGTTTCCAATTCTACTAAACAGTTTTATCTTTACATGTTCTACTTGATTTTGATTTTATTTTCTTAATTCCTAAAGATGAGTACTGAGCTCTTTTTTTACTTAACTCTATAAAAATATTTAAATAATACATTCCTAAGCCAGGCTAGGTATAGATAGCACATACCTAAAGTCCCAGCTACTAGAGGAGGGGGTGGGAATTTCTGAGGCAAAACAATCCCTTGGCCCAAGAACTCAAGCTAGCCTGAGCAACATAGCAGGATCTTGTTCCAAGAAAAAATATTTCAAATTTACATATATGTCCTTCAAAATAGAAAACTTAAAAATGCAACTTTTGCTGCTTACCACTGAAAGAAATGTTTTTACTGCGTTCTAAATAGTATACTCTAAGACGGGCACCAGTGGCTCATGACTGTAATCCTAACTACTCAGGAGGCTGAGATCTGAGGATCAAGGTTCAAAGCCAGCCTGGGCAGGTAAAGTTTGTGAGACTCTTATCTCCAATTAACCACCAGAAAACCAGAAGTGGTGCTGTGGCTCAAGTGGTAGAGTGCTTGCTTTGAGCTGAAGAGCTGAGGGACAGCACCCAGGCTCAGAGTTCAAGACCCACAACTGACAAAAAAAAAAAAAAAAAAAATAGTACACTCTGATATTGCCTCCAAGGAAAGAAATAGGGTTAAAGGAGACTGAAACTTCTAAGATGGATTACTTTTTACGACTCAAGCAAAAAAAAAAAAAAAAACATTAAAATGTGTCCTCTTCTGCTATAGATTTTCTAATATCAAAATAATTTAATGAGAATCAGTGCATGTAAACAAATGACACAATCTGCACCAATACTATTATTCCCTACAATAAACTACTATCAAAACAGAAGACTCTTAGTGACCTAGTTAAGTTTATGCACTATGGTAACAAAATCATTATTTTATTTGATGAAGATTTATTGATGTTAGAGTATCCAGGTATAGTAGGGTAAAACAACATAAGTTCTTAACTATTTCCGTTTTTTTCCAAAAGCACACACCAAAAGAAGGCATGTCTGCTTTCATTCTAGTCTCATGGTTTCAATACGAAATGATAAATAATAGATATTCAATAAAAGGCAGTAAAAACTCTGGTATGTGCAAATGCTATTTGTCCAGTCCACAGAAGTGAATCCCTCAATAGTCTTCTAGAAGCCTGTAGCTGGCAAGCTGGAAATCACCAAGAAAGCACAAATAAATAAATAAATAAAATGCTTTCCAATCTGTAAAATTACTCCTATTATCTTATATAAAACAGTTTTTTCTTCTATCTACCCTAACTAGACTATTTGAAGTTCTTAGCCACAATAACAACAATAACATCAGCTGAAAAATCTTCCAATGGAACTTACTAAATTCATTGTCTTGTGATTTACAGCTGTAGGGGCTCACCTGCGGATCTGTAATAAAGTAGACTGAGAACTATTTCTGAAAATACTTTTAAGGGGAGGTGGAAATATTTTAGTGAGACAATCTCCATGTTGCAGGACTAAAATTCTGATTCAACAACCCTATAATATACAATGATCACATCAATATTTTGTCTGTGTGCTAGTCATGGAGTTTGAACTTAAGAGCCTGGCAGCTGGTCCCTGAGCTTTTTTGTTATTGTTGTTGAAGGCTAGTGTTCTACACCTGAGCCACAGTTCCACTTCTAGCTTATTTGGTGGTTAACTGGAGATAGCAGTCTCATGGACTTTCCTGCCCAACCATGATCCTCAGCACTCAGCCCCCTGAGTAAGTAGGATTATAGAGGTAAGCCATCGGCACTTGGCCACATATTCAAATTTTATTAGGAAAAGCATAAGTCCCAAAGTTATTAATATTTTGTTTACACATCAGAACATGTTACCCTACTAAGAATGTTTTAATATTAAGAAACTACCTACATCCCATCTATTCCAGTTGCCTCATCTATTTATTTTAAAAAATAAAATGGGGGTAGGGGCTACGGGAGCTTACTGGTAGTGCACTCCAGTAGCATGCATGTGACCTGGGTTCAAATTATTAAAAAAAAAAATGACTAAGAAAACTAAAACCTACAGAAGAGTACCCATCATAGAAAGCCTTAACATACAAATTTGAGAACTTTTTCTTAAAAGACAGTACTGTTAGAGGGGTAGAGTTTAGCTACTAATGAGAAGGGGTTGGTTGAATACTGTCAAAATAAATTATTAGCCATTATGAAAATATAATAAAGTCAAGCATCAGTGGCTCACATCTGTAATCCTAGCTACTCAGGAGGCTGAGATCTGAGGATCAAGGTTCAAAGCCATCAAGGCAGAAAAGTCTGTGAGATTGGGGGGGGGGGGCTGGGGGGAGGGAGGAAGGAGAAGGATTGGGATTAGGGGGGGAGGGGGGAGGCTGGGAAGGGATGTGAAGGATAAACAAAGGAGGAGGCTGCAATGCTTGGTAAGAAATGTACACATTATCCTGCCCATGTAACTGTAACTCCTCTGTACAGTATGTTCACAAATAAAATAAAATTAAATTAAAAAAAAAAAAAAAAAAGAAATCCTTCTTGACACACAAACAAGAATACATGAATGTCTTGGAGCATTTTATCAAAGAAGTATATTTTTCTGAAAGCAGTTTACATTTGCATTCAATTTTTTTTGTGCTCTTGGTCATACATTTTGATTCTTAAAAAAAGTACCCAACTTGTATGCCACTTGGGCATGATAATACCATAGAGGATTTGGTTTACAAAAATCATTAAAATCATTCCCTGCTTCCTGTTAGGCAAATTGGAATTTGTCTTACAATTTCATCCATCCAAGGAATAAGTTTCAAAGATCTCCTTTGGTAACTAATTTTAATATCTAATAACACTTTTTGTCAGGACTTTCATTTCTTACAAACAATGGTACTGAAGTGCCTCTTACTATTTTCTTTTCTTTTTTAAACTTCAAGGAGCAAGCCAAACAATTGTTACAATTCTTCATTAGAGTTTATAGTTGAATCTTTTATTAAACTCATCAAATTAAAAAAAAAAAAAAAAGAAAAGTCTGTGAGACTCTCATCTCCAATTAACCAACAAAACGGAAAGAAAGGGGGGAAAATGAATGTGGAGGTGTGCCACAATGGTAGAATTCCATCCTTGAGAGGAAAAAAAAAAAAGCTAAGAATAAGAGGAGGAAGAAATGAGAGGAGAGGAGGGAGGGGTAGGGAGGGGAGGGCTAAAGAGAGGAGAAAGACTCAAAGGAAGCTAGAAAAGGAGAGGGAGGGATAGAAGGAAAGAAGGAAGGAAGGGAAGAGGGAGGGAAGGAAACAATTATAGAACAGTAAAACCTGTTGGGGACAGTTTTTGAGGGAGAGGGGAAAGGAGTATGACAAAGGCTTAAGATTGGAATACAATGTGAAGATGTAACAATGTAACCCCTCTCCCCGTGTGTAAGAAAATATAAGCTTAAAAAAAAAAAAGATTACAGTATTGAACCAGGTGTGCCTATAATCCTAGCTATTCAACAGGCTGAGATCTAAAGACCATGGTTCAAAGTCATCCCGGGTAGAAAAGTCTGTGAGACCCTTATCTCTAATTAACCACCAGAAAACCAGTACTCACACACTCTCCCTGCCCCCTCCCCCCAAAAAAACAACAAAGATAAATGCTGCCATCATGTAAAAAAAAATGCCAAACTTTTCTTGTGAAATGCTGGCCTTACTTTCTTCTTTGGATAACTATTCATCTACAGTCTACCTTATTGTTACTATCCTCAACACCTTGTAATTCTTTTTTTTTTTTTCTCCCGAAATAACTAATTTGAAAGCCAGCTACTAGCAACCATTCTCTACAATGGCTTTGGCAGGGAAGGGAACTGAACCCAAGGCTTCACACCTGTACTCCATCCTCATTCCTTCACAAACTATCTTTTGAAACTTACTATCACCTTGGATGGCCCCTTTACATTTTATCAATTACCACCTTCTGCTGCTTTTTTTTTTATTGTGAAAATAGTGTACAGAGGGGTTACAATTACATGGGCAAGATAATGAGTACATTTCTTATCAAGCATTGTAGCCTCCTCCTTTGTTTCCCCTTCCCATCCCTTCCCATCCTCCCCCGCCCCCCCACCTTCTGTTGCTTTTATCACCACTCTCAACACACGCTTCTAGGTAATCAGTTTAACAGGATTTTGTTTCACATCTGGATTATTCAATGAGAATGACTGTTAACAGACATACTTGTTACCTGCCCCCCCCCCCCCCGTATTCTTTCAAATCATTTTTCACCTGTATGGACAGTTTCCTGGCACACCGGCAGCTTCCAATCTCAACCACCTCATTGCTTCTCTCCTAAGGTCCCAGCATCTCAGCAGATTGCCTAGACCTGACTAGAGCACCTGGGAGGTGCAGAGAACTTTTCACAAGTAATCACAATCAGTAAGGACTAGGAATAGGTAGAAAAACACCACATCCCAATTCCACTAGAAGAACTATTCTGAGGCAATTAACACAAAAATTTCCACAGCCCTAAGCCCTGAAGCCTATCCATTATTGATCCTTGCCTTCTCTGACTTTACTCATTCACTCACCTATGATTCCTGGCTTATCACCTGTATCCAGACTGTTACCTCAGGGTCTGAGTTCAAGATACACTTCAGGGAAGGCCCCAAATGATGCTGTCAACTGAGTGCTTGTATTGAAATATCACATAGAACCCCATTTGTATGTGTTTAATATTAATTCTGAAAGACCTAGTTAAGATCTACTTCAATATAAATATATATTTCAATAT